ACACACACACACACACACACACACACACACACACACACACACACACACACACACCAGCCTTCCCCGCCCCCCGCCCCCCGCCCCCCACCCACACACACACACAGAGCAGTCCGTACCCGAATTCAAGGAGGGTGGTGTAGATAAAGGCCTGCCCGGCGGCGCCGGCGAGGGAGAAGAGAACGACGCGGGACAGCAGCGGCGCGTGCTCCGGCTGTAACAAAAACATGACGCCAGAGAGGAACTCGCCCGAGGCAACGAGCAGGGCGATGATGAGCAGGGACCCCCACAGGTTGCAGTAGCGCATGAGCTGGAATGGGGAGGGCGAGTAGCGCTCCTTGAGGTGCTGCTGCGTTGGTCCCGTGACGCCATCCAGCAGCAGCGACAGAAGCAGCAAGCCGATGCCATACAGGCTGTTGTGCTCCTGCGCCGCGTCCGTGTTCTTGAGACGAAACAGGACGATGCCCGCGGTGACGAGGGCCACGTGGACGTACTGCAAGAAGGTGGCTGTCCGGCTGTACACGAGCACGTTCACCAACAGCACGGGCACGAGCTTGCACGACTTGGCCAAGACCTGGGTCGGGTAGCTCACGTACTTCAGGGCCTCGTTGCTGCACAGCATGGCAGCAATGAACGTGCACCCTGGCAGGGCAAACGCGGTGGCCGGCAGCGGCTTCATGCCTTGCCACCAGCAGATGGTGGTGGCGCAGATGTAGTTGAGCACGGCCTGAATCAAGAGCAGCGTCAGTGTCGAGGAGAACCGCTCCCCGGTCACGGGCGACGTGTACTTGTACACGCCCTCCTGCAGGATGCCATACGTGATGTAGCACACATAGATCCCTGCGCTGCACCCCAGCAGCCTCAACAGCGCCATGCTGAACCAACGCGTGTGGGTTGGTGTGTGAGAGTTGTGTGTGGGTGTGGAGAAGGTGTGTTGAGAAGGTGCTTGATGTGTCTGTGTGTGTGTGTATTGATTGGTTGGTGCGACGTGGCCAAGGGCAAAATTGCCTTTGTCTCAAAGGCAATTTTCCCTTTGCACAACAACACCGAAAGGAGATGAGGGCGTTGTTGTTGACTGCGACAAGTGCGCGAAGAGTGGTGGCGCGTGCACGTGCACGCTGCTGCTACTGGCGAAGCAGCAGCAGCAGTACGAGCAGCAGTACGAGCAGCAGTACGAGCAGTACGAGCAGCAGTACTGGTGCGGGCGCTGGTGGCAGCAGTGGGGACAGCAGTGAACGGGTGTTGCGGGTGCTGGGGCAGGAGTATGCGCGGGACAACATGTCCAATGTGACGCCAGCGGTGGTGCAACGCATGGACGCGGACCTGCTTTCACAGCCGTCGCATCCACTCGCCATCCTACTGGTCAGTGGTGTGGCGCTGTATGTGTGTATGTGAGTGTACGTGTGTGTTTGTGTGTCTGTGTGTATGTGCCTGTGCCTGTGTGTATGTGTGTGTGCCTGTGTCTGTGTCTGTGTGCGACTCTGCCTCTGCGCTCTCTGCCTCTCTCTCTCTGTCTCTCTGCCTCTCTCTCTCTGAGCTGAGTGCTCCACTGCTTGTCAATGGTTGTGCGAGTCGCACACACCAGTTGAATGCTGCAAGGCTCACAGTTTGCATGTTGTGGGTGTGTGGGTGATGTAGAGGCATATTGAGGAGTATTTTCAGCAAGATCAGTTCCGTCATTTTGGCCGCTGTATCTTCTCCTCCCACCGTAATATGAAGCCAGGTCTGCGTGAACGAAGCGTGATTCCTTGCACTGTGTGTGTCTGTACGCGAGATGCACATGCACGCGAGATGCACATGCACGCGAGAGGACGTAGAATGGGTTCTGCACCCTGTGATCCTGCACAGGAGCACAGCTGTCAGCACGTGTATATGAACATCTCATCTCCACGGTGTTCTGTGCGCTGTCAGTCGTCACTCCTCAACAGAACTTTGACTCGCTGCTCATTCCCCAGGACCATCCCAGCCGGTCTCCTTCCGACAACTACTACGTAAGGCCACCACCACCATCACCACTTCTTTCATCATCATCACCACCACCACTTTCATCATCATCATCATCGCCACCACCACCACCACCGTCACGCAACCTCATGTCACGTGGGTTCTGTCACTGCTAGCACGGGCGTTGAGAATGGTGCATCTCACGTCAATGTGTTCTCTTCGCTGGGTGCCCTGCATCGGCTGTGTGCCTGCAGCTGAACAAGGACTTTATGCTTCGCGCGCACACGAGTGCGCACCAGTCTGAGCTCATCTCCTCGGGCCTCAACGCCTTCATCTGCTCCGGTGACGTCTACCGCCGAGGTGCGCTGTCTATGTCTGCGTGAATGTGCATGTGTGCGTGTGAGTGTGTGTGTGTGTGTGTGTGTGCATAACAGTGTCTCTGTTTGGATTTCCTTCACCAACACCTGCCTACTCACGTGTCGCGCGTTCAATTCCCCGCTTTTGTACCATGCAACTGCAGACGAGATTGACCGAAGGTGTGCGCACGTGTTTGTGTTTGTGTGTGCGTGTGTGTGTTTGTGTGTGCGTGTGTGTGTGTGTGTGTGTGTGTTTCAATGTGTACAGCTGCTGTTGCACGCCTTTGCTCTCCTTGAAAACACGTCGCCGTCACCATCGCCACCACCTCCGTCCACTCATCGCATTAGCACCATCACCACCACCATCACCACCATCGTGCATTGCAGCCACTACCCGGTGTTCCATCAGACGGAGGGCGTTCGTCTCTTCTCCATCGATGAGGTGTCCCCACCTGGCACACGTGCAATCACTCACTTACTCACTCACTCACTCACTCACTCACTCACTCACTCACTCACTCACTCACTCACTCACTCACTCACTCACTCACACACACTCACACACTCACTCACTCACCTTCCCCCACCCCCAAACTGCAGGTGAACAAGATGACGGGGTCGTCTGTGTTTGCGCAGCACGCCTCGCGCTCCCCAGAGCACCAGGAATCACACACCATCACGACAGCACAGGCAGTCGGCAGAGACCTCCGCACCACGCTGTCCGGGCTCGTTGAGCACCTGTTTGGGCCCGTGGAGCAGCGGTGGGTCGACTGCTACTTCCCCTTCACACACCCGTCGTGGGAACTTGAGATCCTGTTCGAGGTAAACCTGGCGCACGCTGGCTGGCTTGGTTATTTGCTTGCTTGCTTGCTTTCTTGCTTGCTTAGTTGTTTGTTTGTGTGTGTGTCTGTGTCTGTGTGTTGTGGGTGGGTGTTGTGTGTGTGTTGTGTGTGTGTGTGTGCGTGTGTGCGTGTGTGTTTGATCTGCACAAATTGAGACATCACACGTTTTAGCCTTTGCACCTGCGCATGCTGCTCTCACCCACCACCACGCCACACAACATCACCACATCACCACCACCAGGGCGAGTGGCTGGAGGTGCTTGGCTGCGGTGTGATGGAGCAAGAGATCCTCGATGCCGCCGGCGCCGACAACAAAGTCGGATGGGCATTTGGCCTCGGTCGGTCTCCTTCATCAACACACACACTGCGTCGCGTCTACACGCCTGTCTGCGTGTGTGCATGTGTGTGTGCATATGTGTGTGCATGTGTGTGGGTGTGCATATGTGTGTGATACACAATCACACTCTCTTGCTCTATCTGCCTGCCTGCGTACCGATGTACCGCCCCCCCCCACCCTAGTTTGTGCCTCATATCAACGCCTCCTGCTCTCCCTTCTCCTCCTCCTTTGCCGTGTCAGGTCTTGAGCGGCTGGCGATGGTCCTGTTTGGAATTCCGGACATCCGACTCTTCTGGTCAAAAGATCCGCGATTCCTCTCGCAGTTCAAGCACGACGCCCCGCTCGCCTCCATCAAGTTCAAGGTTCGATGCTTGGCTCCGTAGTTGTGTGTGTGTGTGTGTGTCTGTCTGTCTGTCTGTCTGTCTGTCTGTCTGTCTGTCTGTCTGTCTGTCTGTCTGTCTGTGTGTGTGTGTCTGTCTGTGTGTGCCTGCCTGCCTGCCTGCCTGCCTGCCTGCTTGAGGCTTACACGCACATACACGTCCTCTCCTCTCTTCTCTTCCGTCCACCACCACCACGCTCGCCCCTCCCTTCCTCGTCAGCCGTTCAGCAAGTACCCGCCGTGTAACAAAGACATTTCCTTCTGGATTGACGATGACGCGTTCAGCGACAACTCGTTTACAGATGTTGTGCGCTCTGTCGCTGGCGACCTCGCCGAGCACGTTGCTTTGGTCCGTTGCACGCCCTTTGCTCGTGCTGTTGGTTGACGGTGGTGGCTCATGATAGTGGTGGTGGTGGTGGTGTGAGGGCTGGTGACGTGGTGGCAATTAATGTAAAGAGAAGGACTGTTCTTTGTTACTGTGTATCGTGTACGCTCCATGTGCGTGCATGAACAATGTGCTTGTGTAGCCTTCTACTCTTCTCGCCCTCACGACTCATGCTTGCATGCATGTACGCTACCCCCATTTACACACAATCGCACGACGACATGACGATACATTGCCTTCATGATTAGATTGACTCCTTCACGCATCCCAAGACCGGACGCAGGAGCCGCACGTTCCGCATCGTGTACAGATCCATGGATAGGTCTGTGCAGCAGTAGCAGCAGTGGCAGTGAGAGTGCTGGCAGTCGTCGTGATTGATTGTCATTGTGTTTGATATCGTCAACTTTGCGGCAACACACAAACACACACGTTCGCTCACACCCTCATTCACCCCACCTTCTCGATGTATGCACGACAGAACGGTGACAAACGAAGAGATCAATGAGATTCAGGAGCAACTTCGGAAGACCGTTGCGCACGAGTTGCACGTGGAGCTCAGATGAGCTTGGTGGTGATGATGATGGTGGTGTGATGGTGATGATGATGATGATGATGATGATGATGATGATGATGATGATGATGATGATGATGGTGGTGGTGGTGGTGGTGGTGGTGGTGGTGGTGGTGTGATGGTGGTGGTGGTGGTGGTGTGATGGTGATGGTGGTGGTGGTGGTGGTGGTGTGATGGTGATGATGATGTCACTGATCGCTCTTCTCTTCACGGCTGTTGACGGGGTGTTGGTGATGGTGATGGTGGTGTTGTGATCTTGCGTGCTTTCCGCATGCATCAGTGTGCGTGAATGCTCGCGCCCTGCATACTTGGGTTTGCATTCGGTTTGGTCTGGCTGTCTATTGAGAATTGGCTAACGAGTTGATGGTGAACAACAGCATCGCGCCTGTCTGTCTACGCAACCCACGCTGGC